GCAAGTTTTTTTTTTTTTTTTTTTGCCTCCCAAAGCAAGCTTTGGTATGTAGTATTCATATTAAAAAATATTATGCTTCACTTGGCTCCTTTGATAATCTAAAACTAGATGCACGTTATTCCCTCCCTGGAAAATATGTACGAGATCTATTAGTGAAAAGAAGTAAAGAATCTTCCACATTCAAGAAAAAACATTTCAGATAAGCTGTGTAGGATTTTTATTAAACGGAAGTCAACGCATAACCCAAGCTAGAGTTATCCACTTCCTTTTAAAAAGTATCTTGCACTGGAACAGGATTATCTGAAACTAATTTTGTAGGCACTTCTGCCTTCTTTCATAGAGCCATGACACCACCAGCATGTGCACAATCAGTTGCTTGTCATGGTGTCCATAGAATATTGGTAAGCTGAACAATGGTTGTATATCCAGCCCAGCAACTGGTTTCATTAATTGCACGGCTGCCCTGCTGAGAACCTTTCTAAGGCTGAATTGTCTATAGCACATTGATCTGGTTATCTGAGTGTTTCATATCACATGAATGTAACAAGCATCCCACAGAATTAACCTAAGGGGCAGACTAATAAATACATTCTTTCTGATTTCCACATGTTCTTGCACATGGATTTTCTACAACAGTAAGTCTGTAAGCAGGACTGAGACAGTATTATTTTTTTCCCAGCTCCAACATCTAAGGTTTGAAGCTCCACTAATTTTGAGCATGAGATTCCATTTATTTCTCAGGGCGTGAAAACTGTCATAACTCATTAACATCAGGCATGTATCTGCAGCACCTGTTTTGCAGGTCCCAGATCTCTCCAGAGTGGGCAAGGCCAAACACCTTTCATTTGAGGGGAAGTTACAAAGGTTTTCAAGGAGTAAAGCAGGTGTTAAGCCTTGCAAAAACTTAAGCCCTATATTACACCCCTAAAAAATCTCAAATCCACCCCCAAGTTTGGCTGATGGAACTTAGGTTTTTGAGTGCAACCCTCAACATACCATGTGTGATACCACATTCATACTATCAGAAGTTGCTTGCTCAAAGTTTCTATGGACAGAATCACTGATGCCATCCAGGCAAGATTTAAGGACACCAATTTTGGGTCCCCCACAGTAGAATGAGTTAGAGGTTTCAACAATGCAACAGAACTGTCCTACTGCAGATGGAAACAAATAATGCAAATTGCCATCTAAAAAAAAAGAAAGCTCTTCTTCAACGATTAAATGAAATCTAAAATCTTTTGGACTTCTGCTTTGCACACACCAGCTTCCTGAACTTCTGTACCTATTGACCAGTAGGGGCAACAGATGTAGAAATAGTTTATAGAGGATTCTGCATTTATGGCTGACTTTTAGCAAGACCTTTAAGATGTGGTTCTCTCACCAGGCTTGGGAATCCAGATGTGTGGCAGATCCCATGCAGTAGTTTTCTTAATTTGTTGTTGGTGGTTGTTTTATCTTGGCTGCTGATTATATTTGTGCTGTTTTTATATTGTTTTGCATAGTTTTGCAAAAGTTTTGCAAAAGCATAGTTGCTAGCTGTCCAGAGTCATGAATTTGAGATGGGGAGCTATATAAATTGAAATAATAAAACAGAACAAAATAAAATAAAATACATCTATTTTTCTTGTTTAAATTGCCTCCTGTTAGAATGATAGTCCCAAACTTTCATCACTTCCCTCCTTTCTCACTTCAGTCCTTTCCTCTTATGCAATTCAGGTCTCACCAGACTGATTCTTTCTCCATAATGGAAGAGACCAGGCTTTTAGCTGTAGACAAACTTAGGTAACTCAGACTTTCCTATCAGTATATTATTTCTTAAATAAAACTTACCTATTTTAGTGTTTCTCTCTATGTGCTTTCTTTCCACTGAGCAACACTAACAGCTAACTATCATCTAACTGAATAATTGGAATGGGCATGTTCTTTAGGGGTGTGTTTAATTCCCTGTCCAAACCACTGACTATCATAACTTTTCATTCCAGTGATTTCCATAAGTTCATATAGGTTGTATGAAAAATTGCTCAGCTTGGTTTTGATGGTGGGTTTGCCTTTTTATGTTTTGACCACTATGAAGAGGGAAGGCTACGAGTCACAGCAATGAAAAACAAATGCATGCTTCCCAAAACAGCTGGACTAAGGTTAAAAATAAGCCACTATTCCACCAATGCATTATTCTTGATTTTTTAAAAAAATTCAAATGGTTGGAAATGTTCAGTTGCGCTGGTACAGCACAGTTGCACAACATCTCACACCCTACTGCTTACAAGGTGCAGTGACATCTAGATAAAACGGTAGGACTTTCCCCTATTCTCTTTTTATGTCTTACTTGGCCTGAACTTTTTTTGTGACATTGTGTATCTCAGGATGCTTCCTTCCTTTTTTTGTTGCAGGCACACTGGGTCTCTTGACTCTTACCTGAAGAGAATGTAGAGGCTAGACATTCACCTATCCAGAGGCATCTTCAGAATCCAGTGGGTTTGTCAGAATGATGAAACAGGCGTTGCAAACTTACAACACAACCTTCAACCTTTACATGTTGGCATAACAGCTTGACAAGAGGGCAGGGCTTGTGTCATGTTCTTGCAACATTCCTTTTATCGTGTGCCCCCCTTGACCACCAGATGGATGCCCAATGCCCGTTTTCTTGTATTTCTTATAATAAACTGTATTTCTGTTAAAGTTTCAAGAAACTGCTTCACAAATCCTTAGTTTAGATACCCACTATCCAGAAACACTGAAATTGCTTCCTCCCATGGTAAACACATGCAAGGCTTGATTGGAAAATAGGTTGGCTGGTGTTACAGAATCTATCACAGACATTTCTCAAACATGAATGGAAACTGGGCTAAATTTTAGCCGTCACTAAATTTCAGGAGTCACTCAGGAAGTTTTCTCAACCTTTGCCATTTTAAGATGTGTGGATTTCAACTCTCAGGATTCTCCAGCCAACATGCTGCACTAAGGAAACACAACAGAGTCCTGGAACCACAGCCATTCACTCACAGGATTTCAGCTTTTTCCTTTCTTTCTATTTAATTTGCAGCTTCAGCAGGCTATTCACAGCCTTAAAACTCTTTTTATATGATTCTCTCATTCGAGTTTGACAACATTTGCTAATAACATAGCCTCCTGTGCTCATTAAAAGGAAAAGAGAGGAGGAAAAAAAATGTAAACCACACAAGGGTAATGCATGTAACCTTAAATATTCCATTACGCTGTGCCTATTTCAAAAGGCAAGAACCCATTAGCTGTCCAGTTAACAGCTGTCTTTGAAAAGGAGAAAAATGACAGTCATCAGGTCTAAAAAAAGTCCCC